AGGGGAGGAAGGGGGGTTTGGGTGCTGGGGTCCTGGGCAGGTGCTGCCCACCACAGACTCCTCTACCCCCACCCCACAGGGCGCATCTGGCCCAGCCGGCCCCCCTGGGGCTCAGGGCCCTCCAGGTCTGCAAGGGATGCCTGGTGAGAGGGGAGCAGCTGGCATCGCTGGGCCCAAGGGAGACAGGGTGAGTACCAGGCCAACTGTGCCTCCCCCAAAGCCGCGCTTCCCTGTGCCACACTCACCCCCTCCCCACAGCACCTGGGCAGGGGGTCCCTAGTTAATCCTCTTGAGGAACTTGGAGACTCCCCCCCCACCCACCCACCCCAGGCACTATTTGTCTTTTAGTGACCCCCTCTCCCAACCCTTCCCTCCATCTCACACCTCTCACCCTGAACCCATAGCCAATCCTGCTGGGCCAGGAGCTGAGCTGTGCCTGCAGCCTCAGCCAGGGTGACACGGAGCCGGAGCCCCCTCCTGAGGTGGTCCATCTTCTCTATCCCACAGGGTGACGTTGGTGAGAAAGGCCCCGAGGGAGCCCCTGGGAAGGACGGTGGACGAGTAAGTGAATGCTGGCTGCAGGCACCCTGGGGACCCCGTGGGTCTCCAGCCCTGCGCTCTGGGCACGGAAGGGCAGTGTGTGAGCACAGCCCCTGTCCTATCTCAGTTGTGCAGGCTGGGCAGCTTTGGGACTCTCCTGACAAGGCTGGGGCCACGGGTGTGAGGTCCCCAGACTCCCTACTGGGCTCCAAGTCCCTGGTCAACTCTTCCTCCCTCACCTTTGTCTCCTTTCTCCCTAGGGCCTGACTGGTCCCATTGGCCCCCCTGGCCCTGCCGGTGCCAATGGTGAGAAGGTGAGTCACAGCTCCCTTCGCTCATGGCTCCCCTCCCCTATCACACCTGCACATCTCCTGCCAAAGACTGCTGTCTCTTCTCCTCACTAAACAGCTGGCACCCTCCTGCCCACTAGTGGCTGCAAGGAGTGAGGGGTGGGAGTCTTCTTAAAAGCAGAGTCAGGGGCTGTGCACCCCGTCGAGCGGAGCTGTTGCAGGGAGGGAGGGGGCCGGTAAACCAGCATTCAGCAGAGGCCCCAGGAAGTACCTCTCGGACCGAAGCTACAAGGAGAAAACAGGCCATCTGCTGCAGGGCTCCCTGGATGCACTTTGCTCTTTAAGGTCCCCACTCTGACCCCCACCCCTTACCTGTGGCTCTCGTCTCCCCTCCCCACCCTAGGGAGAAGTTGGACCTCCTGGTCCTGCGGGAACTGCTGGTGCTCGTGGAGCCCCGGTGAGTATCTGCCCCTGTCCCCAGGCCCCATGGGAGCAAGAGAAGCTGCCCTGCCTCTCAGCCTGGCCCTTTGGGTCTGGGGGAGGAAGCAGAGATGGAATGGGGGGAGAAGGCCTCATCTCCATGATGCGGTTGAGGTGGAGGGCCTTCAGGTCGCCAGATCCTCTGACCAAGAGAGGTCTTCTGAAGTGGGTCCCTTGTATTTAGGACAGAGCTTCCTGGACGCTGTCTGCATGTCCTGTCTCTGGGCTTTCTATGCAAGGGCTGGGCCACAAGGGCCTGGGTTATAGGAGAGGACAGAAGCAGGCAGGCCTAGGGCCTTACCTCTCCTGGGTCCTCTCTCCCACAGGGTGAACGTGGAGAGACCGGTCCCCCCGGGCCCGCTGGATTCGCAGGACCTCCCGTGAGTGTCCCTGTCCGCCCTCCTTCCCACCCCTCTGCTCAGGCCAGCTCTACACCTGAGGGCACCTTCTAGCCTGTGGGGGAGGGATGGAGAGAGGGAGGGACAGAATGTAAAGAAGAGGGAAATGGCCTCTTCCGTCTTTCCTTGAACCTCCATGCTGATCTCACAGTCCCATCTTAGAGCAACTCGCTCACTCACTCATTTACCCACCCACTCACCCAGAGCTCTGGCCCTTTTGGAAGAACGTGGAGTATCTGGCTTGCCTCTAACTCATCTGCTTCCTCCTCCTCGGGACAGGGTGCTGATGGCCAGCCAGGTGCCAAGGGCGAGCAAGGAGAGGCTGGCCAGAAAGGTGATGCTGGTGCCCCGGGTCCTCAGGGCCCCTCTGGAGCTCCTGGACCTCAGGTGGGTAGCAGTGAGCTCCCCCAGGAGCTGTTCCCATGGGATAGGGATGTTGGGGTGCAGGGTGAGGGGCCTGGACAGGAGGCCTGGGTGTCACCCCAAGCTGAAGCCCCTCTACCTGGCAGATGTTAGAGCCTGCTGCTGCCCCAGCCCCAGAAGGGAGCAGCTGTGGGGAGGAATCTGTACTTGGGGATAGAGGTTCAAAAGAAGTTAACTGGCTTATGTCATCTAGGGTTTGGGGGCCAGGAGATGACACAGTGCAGGCTAAGGATAGATGACCAGGGAAGACGCAGCCAGGATCCTGGGGAGGGAAGGGGGAGACCTCCAACCAGCTCTGCAGATGCCTGCCAGGCCTCCCCTCCCCACCCCCCACCCCCGAGGTCTCCTAGAGCACGAGTCTCTCTTGGAGGGGGTGGCAGGCCCACCTGTGATGCCTTCTCCAGGCTGGGATTTTAGTGACAAGAAAGCTACATCTCGGAAAACTAACCCCTTGGGAGTCAGCTCTTGGGGGTCAGACAGGCCCTATGCCCAGAAGCCCACAGCTCTCCTCCGGGTGACTGGGCCTCACTGTCTCTCTCCTTCCTTCCCAGGGTCCTACTGGTGTGACTGGTCCTAAAGGAGCCCGAGGTGCTCAAGGCCCCCCGGTGAGTGAGGTCCCCGTTCCCACCAGGTGGGGTGGAGGGCGCCTTGGGGGCGGCAGCTGCCGTCACCAAGAAGGCCTGGCCAGATGCTCCCACGGTGGTGCTCTGGGATTTACTCACCCCCTTCTTTCTTAGCCTTGCTTCTGCCCCCAGCCTGAGCCCATCCCACAGCCATGTGGGAAAACGGGCGCCCCTCTCTGCCAGTGTGCCGTGATCCGGGGAGGTCTGTGGTCCTGGGCAGGCCCCCTGCTCAGCTCCCAAAGCACTGGCTGTCCCAGCTGAATGCACCTCCTCACCCTACCCCCTACAGGAGCTGGAGGCAGAGAAGCTGCAGCTTCCTGATCCAATAGCCAGACCCCATGGGGCCCTTTCTCCTTCTCTAGCTCTCCTTGCCCCTTTCCACACCAGCCTCTGAGACACCCGTGTCTGTCTCCCAGTATGATTCCTGACGCTTCTGAGGGCCTGAGGGATTCAGAGTCTTTCTTCTCATCCCATAGGGAGCCACCGGATTCCCTGGAGCTGCTGGCCGTGTCGGACCCCCAGGCTCCAATGTAAGTGATGCTCCTGGATGGTTCTTCCCTTACTCTTGGCGTGGGGGGCACAGCAGGGGTTGAAGAGCCTGGCACAGTCCCAGCAGGGCTCCAAAGAGTGCAAGCTGGCCTCCATCCCTTTGTGCCTTTTCCCACTCCTGGGAGTAATTGATCATGGGGACCTGTTCTCGTAAACAGCTGCGAGCAAGGGCTGTGGCCACGGGCAACCTTCCCTGCTGGCTTGGGCTTGGACCCTCAGATTCCTGGCTCAGTGGGCAGGACAGGCTGGCACGATTGCCTCAACACATTTCTTGAGCGCATTCTGTGTTCCCGGCCTGTACAAGTTCTACATTTTGCCCACAGGGAATCTGCCATGGAGGGATGAGAGATGGTGAAAAGTCACCAGTTTACCACCAATCAAGTGCAGGGGGAGTGGGTGCAGAGGTTTAGGGGTCCGAGGAGCTACGTTTGAACTGTTCCTTGAGGGATGGTGGGATTGAGATTTCTGAAAGAAAGGAGGCAGGAAGAAGTCCAAGTAGATCAGAAAAAGCAAATGTGGGGCTGGACAAGCCAGGGCTGGCTGCTCAGAGCTCCCTCCTGGGAGGGAAGGTGGAAGAAGCAGACAGGGGTGGGGGTCAAGCTTCCTTTGTGTGGAGGGAGCCACAGAGGGGAACTGCTATCCCTGGGGCCACAGTGGCTTTGGCAGTCTGGATGGGGCAGGGTGAGATGTTCTCATTTCTCGCATTTGCTTTTCTAGGGCAACCCTGGACCCCCTGGTCCCCCTGGTCCTTCTGGAAAAGATGGTCCTAAAGGTGCTCGAGGAGACAGCGGCCCCCCTGGCCGTGCTGGCGACCCTGGCCTCCAAGGTCCTGCCGGGCCCCCTGGCGAGAAGGGAGAGCCTGGAGATGATGGTCCCTCTGTAAGTCCTTCCCAGGCCTGGGCCAGGAAGTCTTCTGAGCTCACAGGGCATGGAGGAGGAGGGGACACCATGGAGGGGGCCACTGCCAGGGAAGAGTGCTGGGACCTGTGAATGGCGGCCAGGCTGGGTGTGGATGGCTGGGCCACTCCCTGTCAGAGCTCAAATTCTCACTCTCGCCTTCCCTCTCTAGGGTCCCGATGGTCCTCCAGGTCCCCAAGGTCTGGCTGGTCAAAGGGGCATTGTTGGTCTTCCTGGGCAACGTGGTGAGAGAGGATTCCCTGGCCTGCCTGGCCCATCGGTGAGTGAAGGATGCCCCTTCCTCTGGTGAATTGGGCCCAGCCTGGCTCTGGCTGGTGTTCTTCACTCAGTGCTCTTGGTGGCCTGGTCTCTGAAGAAGCAATACCACCTCCTGAGATTTCCCCCTACTCTGCACTGTCACCCTTTCTTTGGAAGGGCTCAGTATGTCCCAGGACGGGATTCCTAGAGTGTACACTCATCCTCTTTGTCGCTGTCCCTCCAGGGTGAGCCTGGCAAGCAGGGAGCTCCCGGAGCATCTGGAGACCGAGGTCCCCCCGGCCCCGTGGGTCCTCCTGGCCTGACTGGTCCTTCTGGCGAACCTGGACGAGAGGTGAGCAATGGGACCCACTGTGTGTGTGGCCCTTCCCAGGGAGAGGCGTGCCGGGCCAGCCAGGCCCAGTCCTGGTGCCCTGGAGGAGGGGATGATGGGATGGGCCCATAGGCCCAAGTGCCCAGCTGCGATGGAAGGTCGTGATGGGAGAGAGAGAGGGACACAGACACTAAGAACTGGTACATGGGCAGGAAGGCAGAACGAAGCTTGTTGAGCTTCCAAAGCTTTAGCAGGATGGAAGGGAACAAGCCTGGGGCTCCCGACAGGAGAAGGGAGGAACAGAATGGGAGTCTGGCAGGGGCAGCTCTAACGGCATCTTGTTTCCTCTTGTCCAGGGAAGCCCTGGTGCTGATGGCCCCCCTGGCAGAGATGGTGCGGCTGGAGTCAAGGTGAATATCTCGGTGTCTCTATGAGCAGTGGGACAGGAGAATATTCTGTTGGGCCTACCAGGTCAGCCCCAGGTGGTAGGCTGGAGTCAGAGTCTTGTCTCAGTTTCAAGGGCCTTTTCTCCATGGATTTTCTGGAACATTCTTCTCTAAGCCTGAGACCTCTCTCCTGACAGGGTGATCGTGGTGAGACTGGTCCCGTGGGTGCTCCTGGAGCCCCTGGGCCCCCTGGCTCTCCTGGCCCCGCTGGCCCAACTGGAAAGCAGGGAGACCGAGGAGAAGCTGTGAGTATCCTTAATTCAGTAAAAGCTGGAAGTGGAGAAGGGTGGCCAAGTGAGCTGGGAGCTCATCCACTACGTGCCTGACTCCCAGGCCCTGGATGCATCCCTGGGTCCAGGGAGTCTTGGGGCCCAGTCCGGGCCATTAGGCAGAGGAGGGTTTTGCCAACAGAGTTCCCACTCTCTCCCTCACAGGGCGCACAAGGCCCCATGGGCCCTGCAGGACCAGCCGGGGCCCGGGGAATCCCAGTGAGTATCTGAGTGTCCTCTGTTGGGTTCCTAACTGGGGCAGGCTTGGAGGTCAGTGGGGACTGTGTGGATCCTGGGACTCCTTGGCTCAGGTGAGGCCAGCAAGAGGCCTCAACCTGACCCAACCTGTGTCTGTCTCATTCCCAGGGTCCTCAAGGTCCCCGAGGTGACAAAGGAGAAGCTGGAGAGGCTGGCGAGAGGGGCCTGAAGGGACACCGTGGCTTCACTGGTCTGCAGGGTCTGCCCGGCCCTCCTGTGAGTATTGCTGTCTGTGCATGTCTCCCAGGTGCCTCCCACTGCTCAGAGCTCACTTGAGTGTCCCATGCAGCTAACCCAGCTTGGGATCATCCTAAGAAATATCCAGGACCAAAAGAAAAATTTCCAAGACTTCCTCTGGGTTGGAGGGAGGAGCAAATGGAAAGGAGGGGGGAGGGGGGACATGTATCGTATGCATATTTAAGAAGGCTTCCCATCCTGGAAGATGGGGCCCTGTCTGTGCTGACCTCTGACTTTTGCTTCTTCCTTCTGCTCAGGGTCCTTCTGGAGACCAAGGTGCTTCTGGTCCTGCTGGTCCTTCTGGCCCTAGAGTAAGTGAGATGCAGTGAGTCCTTCCTCGGGGGTGGGGCCAGGTGTGGGCGCTCTGATGGGGAGGGAAGCCTGGGGCTCAGGGGGCCTCACTCGGAGGTGGAAGGACGACGGGCTCAGGGTGACTGTGGCCAGAAACCCCCTGAGATCACAGGCTGGATGAACATGAGAACAGCTCTTGGCTGTCAGCTGGGCCCACTGGGAATAGGATTCGACAAAGAGGAGCTCAGGACAGCAGAAGAGCCGTGAAGCCATCCTGCTGGGCCCTCCGAGAAATGTGAAGCTGCAGGGCTTCCCATCAGGACAGCCACCCGACCAGCGCCCCTTGCACCCCCCCCCCCACCCCTGCCTTTGCTGACGGCTCCTCTCTCCTGGCCTGCAGGGTCCTCCTGGTCCCGTCGGTCCCTCTGGCAAAGATGGTGCTAATGGAATCCCTGGCCCCATTGGACCTCCTGGTCCCCGCGGACGTTCGGGCGAAACTGGCCCAGCTGTAAGTGTCCTGACTCCTTCCCCGCTGTCTGGCCTGTCCCCAGCATCTGGGAGGCTCGGGCTCTCTGGTGCCAAGGGCCTCTTTCAGGGCATCCGCCTGCAGCTAGTGAAGATGGCATCCTGTGTCCTGCTTGGTGTTGGGAAACAGGAGAGAGGGGCTGATGAAGAAGTAGGGAAAGTGCTGTGATTTTTCTTGGTCCTGGGCTGCTGCACCCCTCCCCCCACCCAGTGTCTGGAAGAAGACACTAGTATATTCTAGCAAGTGGGGATGTACACAGGAGGGGCACATCCCCACAATTCCTGGCTGATTTCCATTTCCTGCTACAGGGTCCTCCTGGAAACCCCGGACCCCCTGGCCCTCCAGGTCCCCCTGGCCCTGGCATCGACATGTCTGCCTTTGCTGGCCTAGGCCAGAGAGAGAAGGGCCCCGACCCCCTGCAGTACATGCGGGCTGACCAGGCAGCTGGCAACCTGAGACAGCACGACGCCGAGGTGGATGCCACGCTCAAGTCCCTCAACAACCAGATTGAGAGCATCCGCAGCCCCGAGGGCTCCCGCAAGAACCCCGCTCGCACCTGCCGGGACCTGAAACTCTGCCACCCTGAATGGAAGAGCGGTGAGGGTGCAGGGCAGGGCCCCTGGCCCCGGAGAGCAGGAAATCGGCCTGCTGGGCATGGCCGCCTTCAGAATGAGGGAGGAGACCGCTCTTAGCACAGGCCAGAGCCAGGCCTGGAAGGTTCTGGTGGATGGTTGCTCCTCCATTTCACAGCAGAGATACCTCAGCCCTGGCTCCCGTCCTGCCATGGCTACATGGCAGACGTGACTTGAGGGTAGAGTTCCATCCACCAGGCAGGCGCTGCTCCTGCCCTGTTGCTTGCGCCCCTGTTTAGCATCAGACTCTCCCGTCCAGGTCTCCTTGCTCCCAGATCCCTGCATCTCCCCTCCCTTTGGCCACATGTGGCCCTCACAGCCTGTGCCTCTCCCCCTTGTGTCCTGGGAAGCCTTTCCGTCTCTCCCAGGCAGGTCTGGCCCTCTCGGGAGTATGTGTGTGCCTGTCTGAGCCCCAATGGGGTACTGCCTCCTCCCCCTGCAGGAGACTACTGGATTGACCCCAACCAGGGCTGCACCTTGGACGCCATGAAGGTTTTCTGCAACATGGAGACTGGCGAGACCTGCGTCTACCCCAACCCAGCGAGTGTTCCCAAGAAGAACTGGTGGAGCAGCAAGAGCAAGGACAAGAAGCACATCTGGTTTGGAGAAACCATCAACGGTGGCTTCCACGTGAGTACCTGGCTGCTCTGGGCCCCAGACGGCGCCTCAGAACCCTTCTCTTCTTTCTCCCTTGAAGTTGGTGGCACCTCGCCCACCACTTTTCTTGGAGACTTCCTCCTCTTCCCCCTCTTCTGAAGAGTATTCTTAACCATGATCCCACCGGACACTGCCCCTGGGCCTCATGCCATCGCTCTCTGCCCTGACAGTTCAGCTATGGAGATGACAACCTGGCTCCCAACACTGCCAACGTCCAGATGACCTTCCTACGCCTGCTGTCCACCGAGGGCTCCCAGAATATCACCTACCACTGCAAGAACAGCATTGCCTACCTGGATGAAGCGGCTGGCAACCTCAAGAAGGCCCTGCTCATCCAGGGCTCCAATGATGTGGAGATCCGGGCTGAGGGCAACAGCAGGTTCACATATACTGTCCTGAAGGATGGCTGCACGGTGAGTCGGGCTGGCTGGAGCAGGCAGAGGGTTGGTCCACAGCAGGTGTCATAGGCCTAAGGTGATAGGATCCTCGAGAGGTGAGCGTGAGGGGTTATGTAGAGAAGGCGTGCGGAGTGCCAGGGGAGGGAAAGGTGCCATTGTTGTATCTTCTTCACTCCCTGGGCTCAGGGGAAAGAAGTCCTACCTGGCACGTCCAGTTACTCTCGTAGGAGTATTCGTGGTGTGTGTGTGTGGGTCTGCCTTGGGGATGGAGTGAAGAGACGCTCACTGTGGGGGAGGGAGCAGGTGGAGGGGGCCTTGCTGGAAAGGACAGGAGCTGGGGTAGAGAGGGCTTCAGCAAGTCAAGGAGAGGTCGGGGGAGCCCTGAGCGTGTTTTACACTTTGTGTTCTGTGATGCTCCTTTTTGGGGTCCTGGGCAGCTGGCATTGGACAGTGTCTCCTCTCTTTCTCCCCTAGAAACACACCGGTAAGTGGGGCAAGACTATGATCGAGTACCGGTCACAGAAGACCTCGCGTCTCCCCATCATTGACATTGCACCCATGGACATAGGAGGGCCTGAGCAGGAATTTGGTGTGGACATAGGGCCTGTCTGCTTCTTGTAAAAACCCGAACCCACAAACAACACAATCCATTGCCAACCCAGAGGACCCAAGTATTTTCCAGTCCCAGTCACTCTAGGGCTCTGCACTGAATGGCTGACCTGACCTGATGTCCATTCATCCCACCCGCTCAACAGTGTGGACTTTTCTCCTCTCTCTTTCTGAGAGACCTGAACTGGGCAGACTGCAAAATAAAATCTCGGTGTTCTATTTATTTATTGTCTTCCTGTAAGACCTTTGGGTCGAGGCAGAGGCAGGAAACTAACTGGTGTGAGTCAAACGCCCCCTGAGTGACTGTCCCCAGCCCAGGCAAGAAGAGCCCCCTTCAGGTGCCGGGCGCAGGAACTGTGTGTGTCCTACACAATGGTGCTATTCTGTGTCAAACACCTCTGTATTTTTTAAAACATCAATTGATATTAAAAACACAAAAATTATTGGAAAGTACATACCGACTTGTGCTTTGTTCATTTTTCCTTTAGTCTTTGATACTGTAGGCATGACCAAATGGCAGTCCTGAAGGCCTTCTTCTATTGACTTTTCAACCAGGAGGGAGGACTCTAGAGTCACACTGCCTGGTTTAGTGACCTCACACAAACACACATTTGCCTCTTTTTGTAACCTCTGCACTGCGTGGAATCCAAGAGTAAACTGGGACCGGAGGGCAAGACTTGAGAAGGGAGGCAGAAAACCGGAACGGCCTTGTTCTTGAGTAAACACAAAACACAACTCTAGGGCGTGGGGATGGACAGAGGGGATGGGACAGTGTGTGGGCCACACCTTGCTGGATGAGGGAGATCAGAGATGCTCCCAAGGGAGGGTGGGGAAGAGGTGCGGGAGCAAGTCCACAGAGGCCCGTGACGAGTACATACCATCAGCCAACCCTGGCGATCTATTTATCTGCATCTTTCTTTAAGACTTTTAGGTCAAGGAGAGGTGGGAGTGTTACTCACCTCTACCCCTTATTCTGTTTTCCTGCGCCCTTCTTTGGCCCCTCCTCTCTGCTTTCCAGGCCTACACTTAGAGCTTCCGTGGACTTCCTCCCAACACCAGGCTTCTGAATGGATGGCCTCCCATTTCTCCCTGCCATCAGGGGTCCCTTGCTTTCCAGTGACTCAGGGTGGCACAGTGAGGAAACTGTCACCTTCTCTACTAGAGGGGGGGCACAGTGGTGGTGATGTGTGAGGTGGACAGGAGACACGAAACCAATCAAAATCAATGACAATAGTGTCTGGCAACATAAATTTCAAAAGCTACCCACCACTACTGATAAACCAGAGAAACTGTCCCTCTCTCAGTCCCATTCTCCCATCCCTGCCTGTCCCTTCCTCCAGAGGAAGGTAGACAGCTTTTCTATTAAAGAAACCGAAAAAAAAAAAAAAAAAAAGATACATAGGGCATTTCTGTTGGACTGTTTGTATTATTAATACCCAACTTACAGTGTAAACTTTGTTGAATAAAGGGTATCTTATCAGGTCTAGTTCATGACAAACTAAAGGAGTAAAATGAAAACATACTTAAAAATACCTAATTAGAATAGCTATCTCATAATTTAAAACAGCCCTTCCATCTACCAAGAGAGCTAAGGTGGGCAAGGGGAGAGCAGCTTTTGAAGGTGGACAAAGGTGGAACGGAGTCACAGAGTGTGGCTCTACCCCACAGCCACTCTCACCGAGCTCACACTGCTTCCTAGCCCACCTCGCTTCCCACAGTGGTGTCACAGCTCCTGGTTCTTACTGAAGCGGCTCAGTAGATTGTGACCATCAGCTTGGACCTTTGTAAGAGAAGTCCCACTTGCACCAGGGTATCAAGGTGATCCCTCAAAGCCCATCCACTTCCTGGGTACCTAGTAAAACCTAGAAATAAGAGCTCAGACTTCCTCAAGTCACCTGGATCCTGGGTAAATCACAACAATTTCTGGAATTGGTTCTCCTTCCAGCCAAGTGAAGGAACACAGAGAGAATCTTAAGACTGCTATCAAGGCGATGAAGAATCTTATTTATAGTTACTTCTGGGGAAGACTGCAAAGTAGGAGGACCCTAAGCTCACCCCATCCCACAGATACATCTGGAAACCCACATCACTGTAAATAACCCAGAAAATGACCCGAATGCTAGCAGAACAGACTCTCCACAACTAAACGTAGAGAAGAGGCCGCATCAGAGAGGGTAGGAAGGGCCAAGATGTGGTCTAGAGCTAAAGGACCTAAAGGACTGTCCAAGGGAGGAAGGGACACCAGAGGCATGAAGAGGGGAGAGAGAAACAGACCCTCACACTAGAAATCCCAGGCATAATATTTGGCTTTGAAAACTACAGGGACATAATATTGTAGTTCTTACAATCAGCAGGGGCTTATATATGGAATTTTAAAAATCATCAGGCTCAGCTCTGGGAGAACTGGCATTGCAAGAGGGAAAAAGTCCCCACCTGTAAAGAGACGGCACAACCAACA